TTTAAATATAGTTCTGTCTAGTGTGCAGGAGTAGCTGCACATTTTGATGTGCAGCTACTCCAAAGCCCCGGCACCGCGTTAAGCCCTCCGCGGCTCTCTTTACTTTTTCCTTTTCTGATTTTTTATCTCGTATTCTTCACAGTAAGCGCTGGAAGCGCTATCCCTTTGGTTCCCGGGGACAACAGCCACTATGTGGAGGGTGAGAGTCGCTACATCTGGATGCCGGATGGTGAAGGCAAACCTCACTTAGTAGACTTACATGAACCTGTTGATGAGAGAGCAATCGCAAGAAACGGCGCTAACAACCAATATTGGCTTTACACCAGGTAAATAATTTCCACGTTATTATATTACTCTTAAAATGATCGAATTATTAAAAAAAAGAAACAATTCCTACCGTGAAATCATGGTTTGGATTCTCATCCGAAAAGAGATATAATTTTTCGACTTTCAAAGATTATTAAAATTAACATTTAACTATTTTTATTTACCTTAAAGGTCTCAAGGGTCTTAAATCTGCAACTAGCCATTTTTAGAGTATATATTTAGGAGTTCGTATACGTTCAACAGTAGAAGATAGTAACATTCACCTGATACTTTGTTATTTTTTACTATTTACAGAGAAAACCCCAGCAACGCTCAAATAATCGTCCATGGCAATGTAAATTCTATCACCAGCTCTAATTATCGTGCCAATCGTGGTTTAAAAGTAATCGTTCACGGATGGAACAACAACGGAAATACCGCAATGAATCCCCTCATTACATCAGCGTTCCTCGCAGTGCAAGATGTGAACGTTATCGTAGTTGACTGGCAATCTCTCGCTAATTCCAACTACTTAACTGCTAGTAACGGTGTTCCGGGCATCGGTCAATTCCTCGGCAACTTCTTGGTTTGGCTCATCAGCACCGCAGGTGGAGACTGGAACAACGTTCACTTGGTCGGCTTCAGTTTAGGAGCTCATGTCGTAGGAAACGCTGGTCGTCAGGCTGGCGGTCGTCCAGCACGAGTCACAGGTAACTTTTGCAATAGCATTGTAGTGTATTTAATCATTTGTCTAAATGTGGATCATCTACGCTAATATTACAATAACCAAAGATTTGTTTTTTGTTTACAAAAAAAAACTACAAAACATCTAGGTAACGAGTATTGCTTACGCTGTGGTAATTATACACAATAGAGCAAAGTAATGTACTATAATCAATAAGACAATATGTTTAACTATTACAATAAAATTATGCCATAATAACTACTTTGTCATCTAAAAATGTGCAACGGGCACCGGTATAAACCAGGCTACATTATATTAATACCAGAGTAATATCCCGGAAATCTAAGAGGAACGGTAGTTTGAGATCTGCGAAAGGAAGTATGATAGTTTTTATCCAAAAAATTGTAAGAAAACGGGAACTATGCGATATAGTCCTAGGACTATCTATCTTTTAAACAACGGTCATTATTTGATTAAAATTCGACAACAAACAATGGTTTGCGACCCGGGAAAAGACTTCGAATGGTTTTTATTAATTAATATTCACGGGAACAGCCATTCCTGATAAAACCTGCATCATTTCACAATAAATATAACTTAGGAACTGAATTGATTCTGATGACATTTGTTACAGCCATAAAATGTGCCTTGGAAAAGATTAATTCATAAACCCAAATTCAACCTGAAATCATTATTCTACTCGGACGAAGTGAACAGCTAGTTTACAATAAATACCGAAACTAGATCTAAATTCATAATCTAATATCAATGTCCACTAAAACCTTAATAAAATAGTTTTCATCACAGTAACATAACATTGTTATAAAGAATATTATTTTAGTACATACAAACAATAAATATAAATTGGTTTCATTAAATAAAGAATAATTCTGCCCAGCTCCAGGCCAGAGACAGTCTATAGCTATTGTTTTTAACCATTTTTTATAACCGGTTTCAATTTTGTATTGTTGCTAATTTGTACATTCCATTTAATTTTATTTTATCAATCTTTAGTAATGCTTCTTTCAGCATATCGAATTATTATACTGTCTATACGTAAGTAAACATACGTGTAAATTTTATCATTTTAGGTTTGGACCCTGCTGGACCCCTATGGGGTGGAAATTCTCTCGCTCTGAACGCCAATGCTGGTCAGTATGTTGAAGCGATCCACACGGACGGCGGTCTTCTCGGTATATTCGACCGCATTGCTCACGGAGATTTTATCCCAATGGTGGTAGAAATCCTCAGCCTGGTTGCTGGATCAGTACGTGTTCACATGGCAGAGCTCCTGAACTCTTTGCATCCAGTGTTCGCACAAACCACTTCGTGGCCAGGCAATGCAGTAGTACACAAGAAGCAGAGAATAACCAATGCACTGGCGACTCCTTTAATATGGGCAATGGCATTATTTCTAAACGCGGGTAAATATTGCTTTTATCACATTTTACATACTTACTTTTCTCTAGGAGAGAAGATAATTTATAGCTATATCAGCAGATTTTTTAATGAAATTAATTTGTTATTCATAATGATTCAGCAATAATCATTATTATTATTATGAATTGGTGGCCCGTCCTAAAAAAAATATTGAAAAATATAGGTACCCGTGTGACAACACAAGTAGATAGGCAATTTATTATTTTTCAATAAACTTTTCATTGTCTTCCTTTCTTATAAAAGTTTACATGACAGAACAGATTGATACTGACAAATGACTTTAATCAGAAAAAGAATAAATACACCATTTCTCCATCCGTATAATTTTTGATCGTGACATCAACTCGGGGGTCAATAACGACGAATGACGAAAAAAAATTGGAATTGGATTCATTTAATACATTTTCTATTTCTTTGTTACAGCAATGGAATATTCGGTCTTCGCACAGGCTCCAGCTGGCCTTTTTAATACACTTACTATCGTGTCCAAATAAAGATCTTTTAAAAATGCGATTTTTTTATTTGAATACATACCTACAATATATAATAACTTGTGGCCAATCAACCTACACTACACTTACATTATTAAATGATTATATTATAATATAGGATCAAAAGGACTGCCTCATTCACCGAGTAGTCATAAGTGCGACTGCCGGACAAGGGGTCTCGGTTTCGATTCCCGGGTCGGGCAAAGTAATACTGGGTTTTTAAAAAAACCTCAGTACTCATAACATAAATAGTGAAAAGTGGGTGCACAATTACACAGGGGCATTAAGCGCCGTTATGTGTACCTCTGTTTACCCTTTCGGGGATAAAAGGCGTGATGTTATGTAGGATCAAATCAGATTGCACTTTACATACATATTGTATTGATTTGACTATCTACAGATAGTAATTGGACATGTACAGGGGATATCATTAGTATGATCCCCTATGTACAAGTGTATTGCTATCATCACTTTTCATTGAAAGATATCTAAAAAATTCACCAACCGTGTAAACAATCACTCATTTCTTTTATTTTTCTATCATAATTATCTGGTCATGTATCATTTTTATCTTCGCTAAATGCAGTTATCATAAATACCTGATTAATGATAGTTCAACAATATTTTAGAGTTCAAAAATTGGTATCTAATTATTCAATTCTAATGTAAATTCAAATGGTAAAATATGAAATACGAACCAGTTTATTGCGTATTTTTAACAAGCCTTTATGTAACTCGCAAGGTATGTATATAACATTTGTGTGTGTGGTAGGCTATTTATCAATATGCAGCAGCCATGCTTGCAGGATATATAAAAATCCTTCATAAATATAAAAAAATAAATTAAACTTATCAATTTTTATGGAACAGGAGGCAAACGAGCGGATGTGGACGGACGACTTACAGTGTTGGAAAAAATGGTTTTTATTATTATTTCATATTTAATTTCGTCTTTTAAACCTTGCTATAACTTTCACAAATATTTCAAGATCAAAATTAGCAAAATAGAACCAGCAATTTTTGAGCTTTAGTGTCATTATTCATTAACTAACAGCCATTGGTATAAAACACACAACATATAACTTCTTTATAGAATCTTTGATATTTTTTTAACCGTGGAAAATCATCGAATGACTGCTGCCGCCTGGGTGAGGCGGGAGGGAGTGTCAGACTCTTACTGACTAAAAACTACCCCGTTCCTTCTCCTGCATGTCGAACCGGAGCCCCGTTACCCGTTAGATTCTCCGCGACATATTCTATGATATAAGAAGTATCCAAATAAAGAAATTAGGTACATACCTACCTACTTAAAATACTATGATTTGTATCTATAGTTATCTATAGAGTGGAGTTAATATAATATGTAGGTGCAATTTATTAACGCCGTACAATTTTAACGACGGTTTACTTTTACCATAACTAATTACCTACTTATCTGTAATCTATATATCTTATTATGTATATTCCTTTACACGAGAAGAAGATTCTAACAAGTTTTGTATATCTTAAAAAGAATATATTAGGAAACAAACTACCTACTTTAAATTTTTTTTATGGCATAAGCCGTTAATCGAGCAGACGGATCACCTGATGGTAAGCAATCGGCGTCGCCCAAGGACACCTGGAACACCAGAGTTACAAGTGCGTTACCGGCCTTTTGGGGATTAGGAGTTTGAGGATCGTTGGGATTCAGGAATTGGGGAGATTGGGGAAGGAAAGTGTAATGGGGCCTCCGGTAACCTCACTCACACGATGAAACACAACGCAAGCGTTGCTACACGTCGGTTTTCTGTGAGGCCGTGGTATCATTCCGTTTGAGCCGGCCCATTCGTACCGAAGCATGGCTCTCCCACACTTTAAATCAATCAATTGGTTATTATCAAAGTTATTACTTGAAATAAATCTAAATGTCAGGGTAATCTATCTGTACGGAATCCTATTACATACACACTAATTTATCAACTAAAGTTATTATCATTCAAATATTATTAAAAGTAAAAATATGGAATTAAGATAAACAGACAACTATAAATACTTATTTACATGCATGTAGATTATTTTAGTTGGAAACTATAACCATGAAGTTATTGATAGTATTGGCCACTATTACTGCGTGTAAGTAATTATATTATAATAATATGATTTACTACCTTTCTGTCGCAATCATCGCCCGTAATACTTATTACTCCACTTTGCCTGTTAATTTACGAAAACTTTTTCGTTCTGCGCTTAGCTCTAAGCTTAGCTTAAATCACATTCAATCATATATCATATTATTTTAATTATATTTCAATATTTAGATCAATATATAGAAGGAGAAAGGAGAATAATTATACCATGTATGACCAATGAGTTGCCATTACCTACAAATATTATAATATCTCTCAGTCACTGTACCTATAGTAGAATTTTACTATAAATCACAATTTTCCTCTTGATGTTGACGCGACACACGCAATTATTATCATGTTCAATCCTCAATATTTTACATTAAAGTGCAAAACCTACAAAAAGGTTTTCTTAACAGATTTGTACCACATGTTACGTCAAATACTAGCAGTAGTAATATCTTTTTTTAATAATTTTTTTTTGTAGGGTAACACATTATGATTTTCTCCTGTGTCGTGGATGCGTTTACAAACATACAAGTACACATACACAATGACACCCAGACCCGAAACAAAAATTTGGATTACACACAGTGTTGTTCCATGCGGAAATCGAACCCGCGACACGTTGCACGGCAGCCGGTTGCCCAGCCATTGCACCAACTGTATAGTCTATGGCACCAACCGTGCAGTCAATACCAAGTTTATAATTTTTGATTTTCAGTATGCGCTGGTAGCGCCATCCCTATCGTGCCAGGAGATAACAGTCACTATGTGGAGGGTGAGAGTCGCTACATCTGGATGCCGGATGGTGAAGGCAAACCTCACTTAGTAGACTTACATGAACCTGCTGATGAGAGAGCAATCGCAAGAAACGGCGCTAACAACCAATATTGGCTGTTTACTAGGTAAATTGCACTATTTATTTGGTGAGGATGTTCTTGGTAGCGACCTTATCAAATTTTAAATTGTATTGTACCTTCTTTATGCAGACAAAATCCAAATAATGCCCAAGTCATCGTAAACGGCAATGCAAACTCAATACGAAACTCCAACTATCGCGCAAATCGTGGCTTGAAGGTGATCGTTCATGGATGGAACAGCAACGGAAACTCTCAAATGAATCCCCTCATTACATCAGCGTTTCTTGCGGTGCAAGATGTGAACGTTATCGTAGTTGACTGGCGCTCTCTCGCTAATTCCAACTACATAACTGCTAGTAATGGCGTTCCTGGCATTGGACAGCATCTTGGCAACTTCTTGGTTTGGCTTATCAATACTGGCGGCGGAAACTGGAACAACGTTCACTTGGTCGGCTTCAGTTTAGGAGCTCATGTCGTAGGAAATGCTGGGCGTCAGGCTGGCGGTCGTCCAGCTCGTGTTACAGGTAAAAAATATGAATATTTAAATGAATTTTAAAAGAGCAATATAAATCATTTTAGTTGTCAATAAAAATAATTACAACAACTTCATTGTGTACCTAACATCTGAAAAAATAGACACATTTACATTCTAGGTTTGGACCCAGCTGGACCCGGATGGGGTGGCAACTCTAATGCTCTAAACAGAAATGCTGGTCAATATGTCGAAGCTATTCACACTGACGGTGGTCGCCTTGGCATCTTTGATCGGATTGCTGACGGTGACTTTTACCCCAATGGTGGTAGGAGTCCACAACCAGGCTGCTCGAATAGTGATTGCTCCCACGGTAGAGCTCCTGACCTATTCGCTTCTAGTGTCCGAACCAATCACTTTGTTGGCAGACAATGCTCCAATATCCAACAAGCTCAAAACAATCAGTGCTCCGGCAGTGCTCTAAATATGGGCAACGGAGTTATTTCAAAACGAGGGTAAGACTGATTTTTACATTGCTAATTTTACATACCAACAAATATCTGGCTCATGAGCTTTTTTTCTCATCTTTTCATTACATTATGGTTTGATTAATATTATTTTAACTTTGCTAATTGCCAATCTCACCCTACAATCACTAGGGCGGTGTTAAATCCCATGGCGATGGTGGTAATCCGTGCGTTAAATACTTATTAAGATACCTTACCTACTTAACATGATAAGAAAATCGGACAAAAATAATGTGATTATTACCTACGTTTATCAAATTGTTGATAGTGATGTATAACGTCACGATCTCTACATGACATGTCCTTGCGATTTAGATTGATTATAAAATCACTCTCATTTTATTTGTTTTTAAGTAAACAAAAGCTATCTCATAATATACAAGTAATAATCATCAGATAATGAACTACTCAGTTGGCAAAATTATTGAGCAATCATCTGATGTGTAATAAGGTCTTGCGGATTTGATTCCCCCACAGAACTACCTATTGTTTTGCGATCCACAAATTTTTTTTTGTTTCAGGTTTCGGTTTTATGTGAAACTTTTATTTTTAAATTCACCCACTGTACCAATAAATACATGATAATTACGCATTTTCCCTAACTCTATTTTTATTTTTCATTACAGAAATGGAATCTTTGGACTGCGCACTGGTTCCAGCTGGCCTTTCTAATTAATTTAAAGGATGTTGGATGCTAGAGCGTTCACAATACTCGTTACTATTGTTGCTACAAATTGTTAATTTTGTTTTCTAATAAATTATAAAAACATTATCATACCTAATTAAAAATAAATACATTTTTAAATCCTGCCCTATATCCTACCCAACGCAAGTGACAAGATGGGGCCACGTTAGGTATATGACCGTATATGGCTACTGGCTGGCTATAATTTTTTTCGAACCGAGAATTTAAGTGTGGGAGAGCCATGCTTCGGCACGAGTGGGTCGGCTCGACCGGAGTGATACCACGGCCTCACAGAACCTAGTTACCTCACTCATATGACGTGAAACAACGCTTGCGTTGTGTCTCGTTGTATGAGTGAGGTTACCGGAGGCCCAATCAGCCCCCCAATCTCCCCAATCTCCAAAATCACCATAATCCTCAAATTTCCAAAAGGCCAGTACATAACATCACACCTTTTACCCCAAAGGGGTAGGCAGTGGTGCACATTCTGCCACTGTTCAATGTAACACCCACTTTTCACTATTTATGTTATAAGTCCCATGTAATAAGGGGTGATTATCATATACCGGGTGCAATTCCAGACTTCGTGCTACTATTTTTTAAAAACCCAGTAATACTTTGACTGGCTCGGGAATTGAACCTGAGATCCGGGAATCGAATCGGCAGTCGCACTTGTGACCAGTCGGCCAACGAGGCACTCATTAATCATATGAACTTGATACATGATCTAAATGATGAAACTAGGTACTAACCAAGGTTTATATCATGGAAATTAGACACGGATTTTGAAATTAAACGAATTGTATATTGCGTTGTAAGTTTCACTTCAGCGCATTTGTAAAAGTAACAAAATTTCGTTAGCGGGTGGTGTCGTAGTGACCATATGCAGTTTAACGCTTAGTTTACCTAATATTTCAATTATTTTTGAAGTGTAAATTGATTGTTTTTTCGTTAATTACCTACTTTTTTATGTAACAATATGCTAATAATGTTAATGCTAATAAAGTTTCAGTGACTTCTTGGCATCAACTTCTACCCCAACAAAAAATAACTATCAAAATCAAACTAATAAAAGTTATGCATAATCTGCGCAAAAAATACGTGTCGATTTGAGAACCTCCTCGATTCAATGATATTCGAGTTAATTTATCAACGATTAATATAGATAGGTAATGACGTACTCAATCATAAATCAAAGTACCTAGATTCCTAATCGTTTGACACAACAGGAAAGATCAAATAATGATATCTTTTGTAGCAATTTATTAGTTTTTAGCATATGATAATAAAGTAAAATGTAATAGGGCGGGAAACAAGCAAACGAATCACCTGATGGCAAGCAAGTAATCAGCGTCGTCGATCACCAGGCAAGGCAAGGACAAGAGTTACAAAAGAGTTGCCCGCCATTTGAGGAGGGCCGAAGTATTATACCTCCGGATACTTCATGCATATGGTGAAATACAACGCAAGCGTTGTTTCACTTTTAATTATTTGTTATATCCATTTACTGGGTACTTTATGAAATAAAATTTAAGAATCGAAATTATACACTACTAATAATTGTTATGTCATCATGAAACTTCCCAATTTTTTGTGGATTAGATGACCATACAATATTATGGTTTTATCAAGCTGATTTTATGATGAAATCGGAAGGTGGCTGATGAAATGTTCCAGTCAAAATATCTGATTTGGGCTCATTAGATATGTCAATTTCTCTTAATAACGAAGACTTAAGATTAAAAGCATACTTTTAGGTTTTATGTATACCTACATCTTTTTATAGGGTATGTATTTAAAAAGAACTTTTATCTTTTAAAAGGAGAATTTCATTATTATTATTACAGAAAAACACCTGTGGCTTTTATCTAATCATAGAAACAATCTAATCATTAAATCCATACACATGGAAGTTCAAATCACTTTACAAAAAAAACTTATTTGTTCATATAATATCTATACAAATACCTACGATAATTAACAATTATGAATGAATGAAAACCCAGGTTTCTATCTACGGGATTTTCCAAATAGATTAGTTGTATGTTATCTTAAAATCAAAATTGTAATAAATCAGACCATACAATCAGACCACAAAACGTTTTGACTTTATCAAATACACAATCAGCTCATTTGAAAACAAAACCTATGAAATATTATCATTATTCAAATATTATCAATATTTCAGGTCTATAATTCTTCGCGGAGGTAAACGAAGATAACTTAAAAAAAAACATAACACCCACTTATCACTATTTATGTTATGAGTCCCATGTAATAGGGGGTGAGCCTATTGCCATATACCGGGCACATTTTTAGACTCCGTGCTACTACTGAGATTTTTAAAAACCCAGTAATACTTTACCCGACCCGGGAATCGAACCCGAGGCCTCTTGCCCAACAGTCGCAATTGCAACCACTCGGCCAACGAGGCAGTCAGGAAGATAACTTAAAGTAACTAGCATATAACTAATGTATTTCCAATCATGTATGCAACTAAAATAAGAGTCAAATCTGAACAAGTTGACCTTAAATCAGTAGTCGATGTTTACACAGTGTTCGTTCTAGGTTGGACACAAAATATTTATGGAATACAACGTAATGTTTCAACACTTCAAACTTGATTTTTAACAATTAGGTACCATAATGCAACCCATACTAAATCCAACAAAACACTAACACCATTTCTGTGCTGTTAGGGTTTCGTTTCGTCATTTCAATTCCACCACAACACCAATTTTCAGTTCTTTCAATCACATTCTAGAAATCTTTACTAGAACTATTGACATTGTGATAACTTACGACAGTGCTCCCGTGACCGCTTTTCAGATCTTCCATCAGACCTTGGACATCCACTTAGGTCCAGTGGCCTTTTTAACGCAAATCAAACAAGGCTAAATACGATTGCAATTATTATCGCAGCTATTACTTTCCGTCTTCATTATCAGATTAGTTGGATATTTATCTATTAAATACAATATGTGACAAACAGGTCAATCAATCACTGAATTGGAAGTTTGTCAAATTATGCAAGTAAACAAAAGCTTGTTAAAGTCATTCTTTTCAATTTTATACATGTAGGTGAAATAAAAAATTGTAAATTAGCTGACCGACTTTGGCATTTTCTATCTGACTAGGTACTTACTCTGGGAATAAACACACCAAATAAATTCAATCACGGTTAGGTAAAACCTAAGTCTCTTTTTTATAAAAATGCAACATATTAACAAGAATCAACTGTTTATTTCACAAAATAAATAGCAAAGAATCGAATTAAACTTACACTTTTCGCCGGTTTTTAATGATATTAATAATTTTTAAGAAGTGAACTTTCATTCAAAGTCAAAATCATTTATTTCTATTAAACTAGGAAGGCACTTTTGAACGTCAACAACAAAAATTTAGAAGTGAAGCTAGTTGCTCATTCCACGGTGTAGATTCCTATGGAGAACAACAAAAAAGAAACTCCATAGATTTTGTTTTTCAATCGGGTTTACAATACATTTCTCTAGTTACATAGTTTTGTTGGTTCAGTTATGTGAGAACAATGCAATACCTAAAAACAGTCAAAGAGATTGAAAAAGCAAATAACTTTGAGGACAATACAATCATACAGTCTGGAGCTGAACAGTCCCAATTGACGGCGCCCGTTTACGAACATGGCACGCACTGCCCAACTCAAGCAACTTGTAGGGAAGCAAGCGATCCAATCCACGTGTCACCGCCAATGAGATCTTTGAGTGAACATGACAACTCCAAGCTGACACAAATTAATTCTACTAGTCGTAAGGCATGAAAGAAAACATTTTCCTCATCGCTACCGTGAGGTAGGGTGCCCAAAAGACTGGCAGCATAGCCATTGCCATTTTTTTAAGGTGTAAATATTTTAGTTTTAATTATTTATTTCAATAAGAAGTGTAAGATTAAATAAAATCATTACATTCTACTAGTCTAATTTAATTTAATTAATTACAGGGCTCTCACATTTACAATAAATTGTGGAAAGTTTTACACTATACAAACATTTAACCAACATGAATATTATTACATAAATAGAATTCATTGAACATCACTCTGTTTCATGCATGATCCTGCGAAGCCGGACCAGCTTGCCTCTAAGCATTTATATCCATAGTCATTTAGTTTGTAGATGTTTGCCACACATTTTTTTTCATACATAGTTTAATTTTTTTTCATGTAGATGCAGTATTTCTTGAGGGATTTTGTTACAACATTTAACACCGGATCCCATGAACGACTTACATAGTTTTCGACTTACAATCTAAAAAATGGGGAAATTAATCTATTCTTATGTCTAGTTTGATAATTGGGTCTGTCAGACACTTTACTAACCAAATGTAGGTTTTTCCTAACATACATAATATTTTCATAAATGTATTGTCATGAAACGGTCATAATATTGTACTCCTTAAACCTTTCTCTGAGAGATTCGCGGCGACCTAGGCTTTTGCAAGATAAAGATAGACTCAAAGTCAGCAGCGTGTCCCCACAGCAGAATGCCATTATGACATGATGCTATGGAAGTAACTGAAGTACATTAAGTGTCTATGTCGGTTAACTTACGGATTTTCCAGACAGCATAAGTTGCAGAGCTTAATCGTCCCGTTAGAGATGTAATTTGAGGACCCCATTGTAATTTGTCATCTACAGTTATCCTAGGAAAATATCTCTTTTAAAAATTCTAATTTCTCACTATTTAATATTATTATTATATTGAATGTGACATTCATTATTTTTAACGTTTGGCAAAACAGATCTAATGCATTTTATCTTTTTATCATTCAGCACTACATTATTTAGTGTGAACCAATTTTGAACCTTCATCAGAGTATTATTACATCGTCACAATTATTTGCTGTCTATTTATTTAAAAAACCAGTGATATGTCATCAGCAAATATCACTATCATCAGCCATGTTTATTCCGGAATAAATAGGGCAGTCATTTATTTATGCCAAAAATAGGA